GCTCCAATAGTACCTAGGCGCTTGGAGTCTTTCGGTAAACGGGTGCCCCTATCGTGGTGTCTGCCAGTTGTCAGACGGTGAAAAAAGAAAAATTCCTAACTGTCGGATGTTCTATGTAGATCCAATTCAAATATGGTGCCCTCACCACATGAAGGGTCTCGCTCCAGTACTCACCAAATGTGCGAAAAGGGAATGTATTATTCGCTATAACATGGAAAGGTACACTGACATTTTGTTTGTTTTGCATACAAAAAGTAGTAGAACCTGGCTTAGGGTAGATCTTTGTATGACAAGTCAGCCTGACAATGACTTTTTTGCTAGAAAATGGAAAAGTTGCGCCGTCATTTTATTTTATTTTTCCCCACAGGAATCGTGAAGTATATTCTCCACGACAGATCCTTCGTTTCTTTTCATTTTCTTTGCACATATGCTCGAAAATCATATCCAACACGAAGTTGTGCCGACCGTGTGGGGGAACCTTCCGGCATACTCGGAGATGAAGAAAAAGTACGTGAAAGACACTAGCGGTTTAATGAACAAGAATGAATGGGGGATCAGGCTTCAAATTATTATTATTTTTTTTTAATTGCATGCATCTTTCAGGAATATCCCTGTTGTTTTCCAATTTAGTTTCGCGCAACCAATTGACGTTCACGTTCCTGTTTTTTTTGTTTTTTAATAATCTTATACATTGGGCATGTTCGGAAGTCTTTGACCGGGACTTTGCCCCAACCTGGCCCAATCAAGTGACTTGGGTCAGTCATTGGCGATCCAAGCAAGCCCGACTGGGTAGCCAAAGGAAAAAGTTTATGAAATCAGTCGTGAGTTCGGGGAAAATAATGACATTAGAGGCAGAACACAAAGTTCATTTCCGAGACCGTAGTCCATAAAGTATGTAAAAAAATAAATCAATAGGGAGAGGGAAAAGTGAGTAGCATGTTAAACATATAAAGTCTCAACCAAACCTTGTTATTGCCTTTTCATTGATTTGCTTTCCTCCCAATACCACAGTCAAAGATTGAGCGACTAAGGGGTGGTGGTGAGCAAAAGGTAGGTAATCGAGCTATATATCCTTCAAGGATACGGGCAAGTAGTGGTATATCCTTCCCTCGAAGGAGACGATCAATGCCACTGACGCAACTT